AGAGCACGATCAGGGTTGATATTAGCAAAGTTTTCGAAAAACAATTTAGACCTAGAGAATTTAGAACCTGGTTGGAAGTTTAAAAAGCTTTGAAGCTTTTCGACAAGGTATCTGTTGTCAGCTAAAAAAATCAGATATATTGTGAGAGAATCAAAATCAAGCAAGGATGAGCCACACGTGAAGTATGAATGTGTGGTGTTTGTACATACTTTTGGAAGCAAAATCAGGAGGCATTAGGAAATCCCTAAATGGTTGTTAATGTCTAACGTACTAGATCCAAACGCACTAACTAGGACTGCCTTTAGTAAACGCGGTGTTAACAACCATTTTATTTGTTTCAAAACGATTTGAAAAGAGGATAACATACGGTGATCTGGTGAGTGTTCGGTAAGAATTTAACTAGCAAGAATAACGTTTCGGATTTTGGTCTACAATCGGTGGTTTTTTCGAAGTAACAACAAGGTGAGAAGCTGATTATTATTCAGGGTGAAAAAATTGGCCGGTTACAAATTGCTTGTTTCAGTTCAACTAATGTAATTCCTATTTTTCGGATGCTTGTGATTTCTCCGAGGCTATAAACACGGTTGCACATGATTTTTAAGAAAACTTTAAATAAATTTTCCTTGAACCAATGGTCTTCTGTTTCTTGGCGAAGCATCTATTGAGACGATTAGGTAGCAAAGTAGAATGTTCTGTGATTGAGAATCGTAGTCGTTGAGTTTCGGATATATATCGCGCATCTAATTTCTATAACCCTATGAATAAAGCTTTTTCCTCATGGTGCATTATGATATATAGAAACCATAAGCACACTGCCTTCGATAAATTTATTTTTACTTTTTAACTGACAGCAAATAGTGAGTCATGTGAGGCGATAGGATAAATACCTCTAAACGCTTTCGTGAAGAGATTAGGATATTTTCGTAAAACATAACAAACCCCTACAAACCAAACTATAGAAAATTAATCTGATGCTCGCTAGTGACTTGCTACAGGTTGGAGCTTCCTGGAGTTCTAGTGAGAAGTCGTGACCAGTGAGGTCCAATTAGAAGTCACGTGTGTGGATGGATGTCCCACCAACGACAATAGCTCAGGGTCGCGCTAAAATCACGAATTGGTAGAAGTTAGAATTCATGAGCCATTGAATCGGGTCCCAGTGGCTGAATGGTATACGAGCTTGCCTTGTAACTGGAAGGTCCTGGGTTCGAATCCCAGTGGGTGCGTACTGGCGATGATTCCCATACTAGGATGAAACAGCAGCTGTCCAGTACTCCCTGGTTTTCAATGGTTCTCTAACTGATATCAGTCCGTGATCAACTCGTAAAAGATTAGGATATGTTTATTTTCTCGACTAGGAGACGATATTTTTACCCAGAAACCTCTCAGGATGTCCGCTTTTACTTTGTAATTCAAAGATAACGTTGAGTTGCTCACTTAGGTAGTAGCAACAGGAGATTATTTTCAGGGGGAACTACTTTAAGGTAGCTTTAGATAATGCGTCATAGAAGTAAGCAGTGTATGTCTATTGTGTCTAAATATATTAAACGTTGTAAAGCTGGTCAAATCGTAGTTCTCACATATGAGTTAGTTTTTTAAACAATGAGTGTACCGTACTAGCGTTTACCTTGATTTGCATACCTAGCTCATAAACATTATGCATGCGTGTGGTATACATTTAAGGCTAAGACGCTGTGTGATGAATTGGTCCGAGATACTTAACGTCAGACTTGTTTTCTGTACCACTACTGATAGAGAGCTGTTCATCTTTGTACAGTGTAGCTGCGAATTAAAAAACACTGGAATAGTTAGTCCGCGCACTTGACATATTTCATTTCGTATGCATATGTACATTAAGTTCGTCAAACAAAAATACAATTGGTAGTGGACAACTATAATGGAGAAAATGTTGTGATGCAAGACTGCATCTAAAGTACTTCTACTGTGTTTATAAGCGAATTATTTGGAATCGTTAAAGGCTTTAAGCGAAGGTTGAAGATTAAGTAAGAGTAACTTTTCCATAGCTTTTAGAAAAGAGGAGGTAATAGCAATAGGTCTAAATTTAAAACATGTTTCATTAGACGACTTAGGTATAGGTGCAATTTTAATATCCTTCCAAACGGCTGGCACAACATTTCTGGAAAAAGACTCATTAAATATGTGAGAGGATAACACAGGATATCTGCACATTTTTAAGAATAAGGCTAGGCAAACAATCTCGAACTAGGCTACAAGAAGGGTTCAACGACTGGAGATATTTTAGAACGTCATGACTAAAATTATCCCGCATGCTCAAGGTCACTGATGGAGTGAGGCGCTCAAAGGTCATTTTCGTCCATGTTAGTCGGTCATGTTGGATTGCAGTCCCGTAGCCGTTCGTTTACACATTGGTTTTACGTTCTGTTGGCATTTATAGGTGATTCGCATGTACTGATAGCATTCTTTTGTAAAATAGTACTGTTCTTCACACGAAAATAGCCACATTTTGACGTAATCTTCATTGAATGACACTATGTCGAAAGCTGCAGCTTCTACAAGAAATAAACTATTTGTGTAGATGACATTACCCCCCAACTACCCCATCTTCTTCATTGTAGAGAGGTTTTGACGCATTCAGCATGAAACACTAATCATTACAACCAATATGCTAAGTGTGTCGCAGTCAGATTAAATGACGTGGACACCAACATAACTAGCCAGGAAATGAGAATTCCTATCAATCCAGAAAACATATAACAAAGTTTTATTAAAAATTATTGACAAAACAGATTTGCCGAGCGAAATTTCAACCAACATGCCGGATAAGTCCAGCCAACGTCATTTGTATTGAAACCAAGGAAGCAACTCTTATTAACACTTGTGACACCAGAAACCTTGGCATTTGTGGGAGAATGTATGAATGCCTTGTTTACCGTACACACATCAAACGAACAGGTAATACTAGAGGTAATTAGATGCATAAAGGCGTGAGTTATTTAATATTCATAAAGTAGATATGCAAACAGCGCAGTTGTTGATCATAGAAATGATGGATATTAGATAACATCACATGATTCAACGGCATATTAGAAATAAATGAAATTTGTTTCTTTGCTTACTGTCAAGTCAACAGTCTATTTGATGATGTCATTGCATATTAACAGATTAGTGAAGTAGCTATCAAGCCTAAGTTATTACATTTACTTGTACTTCATACTTGGCGTTTAACAGTATACAGACTTGCAACTGGCTAGATAAGGCGATTTTAGCGTATCGAACAGTACAGAATTATTATTCAACTTGCTCAAACCTACTTAGTTTTTACAATGTGCTACTGCATAGAAACAGACACGAAATCTTACGAAGGGCTAAAGTAACAGTCTCATAATACTATAGTAAATCTCCATCCCACTAACTAAGCTTAACATGCATTGATCCGAATTCACTTATTACAAAAGCACATAGTATAGCGACGCACTGAAAAAGTATAGAGGAAGTAGAATTGAAGAGTATATTAAACATTTCATTAATTTACAAAAGAAAATCCCGATGAAGAGTATTAACATTAGTTTGACCGAATGACATTTCCGCTGATTTCATATTCGACAACTTCCTTATACCTGAAAAAAGTAAAGCACATGTAAGGACTAGCACAACATGAAGTTATGAAAGATAATTCTACATATTAGCACACACTATGAATACACTGATTCTATTAATACTAAGTAATATCTCATGCAAATAAATGTATTTTTAGTTTACAGCTGGTCCATAATCTCAGTAATGTCTAATGAGCAAAGTCTTATGAATCCTACAGAAATTATATTCTCACATTAAGGAATCTGCAGCCATCAAATATAAGCTGAACATGCTTCAACTCTAAATAGCTATGCACAGTGTTAGCAGCACAGAGAAACATTTAAAATATTGTAAGATACGCAGACCTGTTGTGTTGATGAGGATAAAAATGACATATAATGCAGTCTAGACATTCGATCGTGACACTGCATCTGTACTGCTTCATGTTAATGGAAAATTCAGGAAAAATTCGTCACCACTATTGGTGATCAAAAACATTGCAGCATTAAGTTTACAGTGCCAGTGAGAATGGCATAACAGACCGTAGATTGATAGTAATGGAGCTGACTAGATTCAGTTCTCATAATTGACACAATCCATGTGTATAATAATACTATACACTGAATTAATGCACTAAGTGACACAGTAAGGAAATTTAAATGAGTGCACTGCACTTGCAATAATCATGACAACCACCTACGTTTGCTAGCCAAGCAGTCAGCTAAGCAGACAATGGCACAATATTAATAAAGTTGAGATATTTTTATGCATTGAGTCCATATAACTCTTATTACACTATACCAAACAGTGCAAATATACATGAAATACACTTAGAAATAACCTCTCAACTTACGATAATTCCTGTCCAAACACACATACGGTGAGACACATCTACATGAATACTTCTATTCCCACAGAAGATTCTGTTAGCATTTACAGGTGATTTCCAAGTACTGATAGAATTCTTTTGTCAAAAAGGACTGTTCTTCACACAGAAATAGGCTGAATTAATATCCTGAGACTTGAAGTCTCCATTGAATGATACCATGCCGAAAGGTGCAGCATCTAAATAAAGTAGACTATTTGTGTAGATGACATTACCCTTCAACTATCCTATCTTTCTCATTATAGCGATATTTTGCTACGGTTCGCCTGAAACACTGATCGTTGCAACCAATATGCTAGGGGGTGTCGCAGTCAGATTACATGACGCGGACACCAAAATAACTGGCCAGAAAATGGGAATTCCCATCAATCCAGATAACATATAACACAATTTTATTAAAAATTATTGACAAAAAAAATTTCCAAGTGAAATTATAACAGCTGTTCTAGAACGTGATATTTAACGTCTACCAAATAAGTGCTGCAGTTGTTTTATTGCAATATGCTATGGAAACGTTACTTTCTATGTTTTTGAACAAGTAATTCGTACCGCTTTATGAATTCCACTTCTTCTATCCTGATTTTTAACTTCAGATTTACCCAAAACTCATTCGATCATTACTATTCATTTGGGTTATTTTCATCACTTCCTGCAAAATTCAACTACATTATTTTCTTGTTCATTGTCCTAGGTTACTCTATTGGCTGAGTAGATCACAGGCCCAATCTTCTCAAATATTCACTTGGCACTCTTCCAAGTAACGAAAGAAGAGTCCACGGCTTGTGTTTTCACAGATTAGAAGTTCAATATGGCAGAAACGTAATTCATGAAAAGCCAGTAAACTTTCTTTAGTGAGCCTAAAAAAGTACAAAAGCCCACACCTAATATTAAAATCATGACGTTTCAACCTTTGGACTTTTCCTTTATGGACATCAAGGATATTAGAGGCAATGAAGTTCCTCTCACTTTTATTATTTTTTGATAGATCTACCGAAATGTGAACCTAGAATTACAGCCGGCATTAACCTTGTGATCCACAAAAGCCAGAGTGGAAAATGGATCACGCAAACTTTGAAGGTGAACAATAATCACATAGGAGATATCACAAGCATACCTTCAGTTGTTGGTGAGCTATTTGAAAATATTTCTAATTTGACGTGGCTGGACGTTTCTTGCAACAAAATATCTGCTATCCCAAATGTACGATGAAATTTTTCATTACTTTCAATCTCAGTTCAGACTATATGTAATCTAAAAAGTTTGAGGATAATTTACATGCATGGGAACGAGATAAAAACCTTCCAAGATGTTTCAAGGCTCAAACCACTTTCAGGATTGTCAAAGCTGACACTGCACGGAAATCCAGTTGAGAAAGAAAAGGTAAGAATGATAGTCGAATTTTAAGTCTACAGAAGTTTCATTTGGTTTTTGAAAATGTCGCTGAAAAATAGTTAGTGTTAATTTATCTCTGAAGTAATAAGTGATAGGTTAATTTCTATGTCTGACAGTTAAACATACGTGTTCCTGACTTACTTACTTTAAACAACTGGATGAGATACTATAGGAAGCTTATGCCATGAAACCCTTATTAATCGATTTTGTGGTTGGGGAGCTGCAATCGATTTCTGCCTGCCAGTGTTGACCGACACAACCTTTCTCCGTGTAAACGGATGAAAGCTGCACGTAATTTGTGTGAGCGTGTGACATCTTATCACCAAAGATATATATAAAAGAAAATGTTAACCAGGGACTTATTGACTGAAAGTTGTGATTAAAGTGATGGGCTACATCCAATTCAACAATGATCCAGATAACATTAAATTGCTTACATACATACAGTCATCATGAAAGTCCATATCCTGGACAATTAATACAGCGTAAACTCAACAGCGAAATTCTGAAGATACCTAATGTCAAACGCATCTAACCCCTTACGTAAGGATGATCGAATACTGAGTAGTAAAAGTGAAATAGCAAGTAAAGTATGGGTTTCTTGACAAGAGGTCATTTATCAGCAATCGCACTGTCAGGGTTTATCCAGGACCAGCTTATGAACTTTGGACATGCGAACAAATAATGCATTCAAACATTAAATTTTTAATAAACACATTAATTGTGAACCAATGGAGTACAAATATCTTTTCCACACTAAACTAGGTGTTGTTAAAAACCAATCGCGATTTGTGATTGTAAATTGACAGATGAGAAAACGATGACAGTGTATTTTCTCACTTGGCGACACCAAGCAAAATGTGGCAGATATATTCTGTCTTCATCAGCAAACTAATTCAACCTAATACTTGTATTACGAAAAAGAGTATGATCAGCCTTGCACTACCAGATGTTTTTGGCCTCATCACGATCTCTAACTAGTGTTCGTTTCTACTCACTAAGCTAAAATCATTATTAACCTTTGCTATCTAAAAGGCAAAAACTACCCATGAGCTAAAAAGAAATTAAAAGACAACTCAGCGAAGAAACTTTTTAATGGCGAAGTCATATTTACATCTATACTGAAACTTAGAGCAGTCAGTTGTAAAGTAATAAAAGGTGTGTGGCACATTTGATATAGTTACTCAGAAATGGTTCCTACAGTTTAAAATTACCGTTAAATAAGAAGCAAGATAGTGAGGTTTCTTCTTGATAAATATAAATAATGTTGAAAAAGGCTGGTAAAATGCACAAAACATGACTTCGTCAATAAAAACAAATTCCTCCGCACGAATGTCTTTCCAATTTACTTATCTGTGCACTCACGTAGTAATTTGCGTTTCTCCACCATATTGTTTCCCACTCCTCTCATTATCTACGGAGCTTTACACCATATTATATACACCTAAACTCTGGTTGTTTGATAGTTCTTTTGAATTAATGCAATCTTTTTCACTACTGTGATAAGGATTATTAAGTATCATTTGAATTGAAGTGATTTTAATGTCACATATTTACATCCACTCATAATAACTTAAGTAATTTTTACGCTATTAGCTGCTGAAGAAAAGTTGTGGAATAAAAATAAGCTCTCCTTCTCTTTCATATGTCTTTGTCCTTTTTTTCTTTGCAAAAGTCTCGTATACTTTTTCTTCCTTATTACCTCGTTTTCTTTATCAGACACGTAAATGAAAAATGTATATAGAATTAGAATAAGAGTGGAATAAAGTATATTGTTCACCAGTTTCTATAAAGGCGCTTAACAAAACACGTACACTGTGTAAGCTATTCTAGTATTAGACGCCGCACACAATCACACTTCACTTTGAGCAGTTTAATAAAAGATTTCTGTTCTGTTTCAGGGTTATTTTCACACGGTTCTTTCTATTCTACCGAATCTAATAACTTTGGATTTCACTGGGATATCACCAGTAGATCAACAAACTGCTGCATTGATAAGACGACCTTATAATCAGAGCAAACGTTCAAAAGAAGAGTGAAGAATAAGAGAATATTCTGAATCTTCAACATTTGCAACAAATTTGAAAAAAATCAGAACGAAAATAATAATAATAAAAATGAGTTATTCTTAAAATATTTTTAACAAAAGATTTTTGTTTATTTGCCAGAAACACGAAGATCTGTTTCAAATGTTGTATAAAAAATATCGTGTAGTACATAGTAATTGATCATAAACAAGTGGTGACTTTCATTGAGGTTCGGGAGAATACGTGTCAGTACCAAGAAACTGCCGACAAATATATGTCGGTGGGACTCATTGTACAGGGACAGTATACGCATAATGAGACTTTATGACGTCATTAGGTAAACTTAAGTTATTTTTCCACTTCCATCACCTTAAGTCAAATATAACTCAGGTTTATTTCCATCTGTTTTATTCGGTAGACTACTGGATAAATTGTGATATGGAGTAGATATTACCTTTTTTGCGCAGTTTATATATAAAAATGAATTGCACAACGACCAGGGAACAAAATCCTTTAAAAACATTCAAATCCCTGGCAACCTCACCAGTTTCAACATGTGCAGTCAAAAATATAGGGAGCATACAAGGACTAGCAGTCACTTTGAATTCAAAGTACCAGTTTGGTAAATGAGCTATACTGGCTACTTAATTACTTATGTAAAATCAATAGAGTTGAATAACAGTATATTACATCCAGGCAAAATAACAGTTTGCTCTCTGAATTTCTAAAAAATAACAGTTTAAACGAATTCAATTAAGATCCTACACTTCGCGATGGCAATGATTACTGGTCATTATTGTAAATAATACGATTTCTGATGCTTACAATGAATTGTGTGAAAGATCCATAGAAGAAAGAATCTATTTTTGACACGATTCAGTGTTACGCTCAACAAATACATTGTCTTTATTAGTAGAAATGAACTATAATAATCATACAACAAAACCTAGTAAGGGTAACACTAGTACTGACTTCTAAGAAACTCTAGATGCCAGTCTTCCAATACCTGTTGAAAATGTGTAGATTCAACTCATACTTAATTTCAAATCCACACATTTCTCAAAGTTATCAACTATCTGCATATTATTTACAATTCAAACTATATTTAACAGACAAAGATCGAAATAACTTCGTATACGTTGACTATATCTTATGAGGATAAAAACAACAACACCAAAATGCTTGATTCAAGAACTCCGGATTTAGCTATGTGTACGAGTTGAAGGCTATCTCCACTTTAAAACCTTAGAGACCAACCAACGAACTGACTCCAGTTGGAGAGCGAATGAAAACCAGAAAATACAAGACAGTTGTTTCATCTATGCTTAAGACTGTTCAGTAGTACTCACGCATGATTCCCCTAGGAGTCGAACCGAAAACCTTCAGGTCACAAGTCGAACTCGCTTACCATTCACAGTCACTGAGACACAATCCAATAACCCATAAATTCTAGGCTTCTGCCTATTTGCGATATATACTGCGACCGCCAACCAATGTCATCAGTGAGTATTTGTCCTCATACCTACCGAAGTAGATGAATCCTACTGGTCACGACTTTCCACTAGAACCTCAAGCAACTTTATTCTCTAGTCACTTACTCGTGGGCGATCGATTAACTCTCAATTCTCGGTTTGCATACACATTTCGCGGTAAACAGAATCATTCGAACTCATTAATTAACAGAAAACGAATAAATTTCTTTAATTCTGATGTGATGATAAGAATAATAAAACAAACTATGAATACAAAATTTAATTATTTCGGTAGTCAAAAAATATATATATTTACATCCATTAAAATGTATATGTACAATAAAAAAGGAAGTACAAATGTCAAGTTGTAGTAATAAACTAGGAATGTTTGGGGATTACATTTTACACCTCAGATAAACAAAAAAGTTGGCGGTTATTATGAGGGAGATAAAAACAGCAGCGACAGTTCAACTTAGAAAAACTTCCGTAGAACTATAAGTGAGGTTGAATACTCCACATACACAATTGATGATGACATCGTATAGGAAGATTAATGTGCATTACAAAACAAAATATAACTACTAAGTTCCACAGGTTTCTTATAGAGATAAGATGCAAATGGTGATTTGAGGAAGTAATAACAATTATGAATGTGTATACATTGACACACACAGAGAACCGTGTTGCCATTGGTAGACATAACAAGAATTATGAACACACTTAAGCATTAGGATGTATGAATGATATTAAAAGGAAACCCTTTGAATAATACAAACTAAGTAGGACACTATGATGGTGGGGGTAACAAAGCTTCTAAAGTTACCTAATTTTAAACTCAATCGACAATTGTTTTTGAAGACATTTATGACTAAGGCTAGTACTTAACTGTGACTATAGTTTGTCAGAAAAGAGGAAAAAGCCGCAGAGAAAAGAATGATATGATGATGGTAGGATAAAACAGTAGGCTTATTAAGTGAGGTGGAGCAGTCACTGGTCTATGAGCCGGCAAGTAGGTCATGGATTGGAACCTCTCTCCAGTTACTCCCCAAAGATTGCGCAGTTAGGTAGTACCACTATTCTACAGCTGGGAAAATTTTGTTGTACATACATTTAATCCTACTCCACAGATATGGCGGAGATATGTGGATGACACTTTCATAGTGTTAAAAACCAAACATATCTCTAGCTTTTTCACACATGTAAACTCACTCACTAGTAAAGGGAATAAAATTCACATTTGAATCGGAAAATGAACAAGGAGAATTAGCTGTGATGTTAGATTGTAAAATAAAACGAATAGAAGGAGGTAAACTGCACACTACCGTTTATGAAAAGTCAACGCGTTCTAATAGATATTTAGACTTTAATTCATCTCATCCGTCGTTGTCTGTAAAGGTAGGCTTAGTTAAGTGTTTAACAAACCGAGCAATAGCACTAAGGAGTAGAAGAAAAGACCTAAATGATGAAAGAAAACAGATAGAAGAAGCATTGGTGTTAAATAACTAACTATCCTATAAAATTCGTTAGGAAGATCAAAAGAGGACGAAAGCAAAACAAAAATAATGGTGAAACTAATAATGATAACATAAATAAGAAAGAATATAAGACATCTACAGTAGTTCTACTATATAAGGAAGGGACATATGAGACACTACGTAGGATTCTCAATAAAGCAGGAATTAGAGTGGCATTTAAGCCTGCAAACTCACTCAGGCAGACACAGGCTCTGTAGGTTAAAGGACCCGGTGGACCCAATTAGACAAAATAATATAATTTACAAAATACCTTGCAATGACTGTAAGCTAAGTCAACTACATAGGTCAAACTAGTAGATCGCGGGTAGTCAGACTACCTCTCAGAACATAAGAATTTAAGTAAGGTTAGAATGATTGATCCCACGAAGCTAAGTTATTTAGAAAAAAAGTCAGCAATCGCTCTGCACGCATTAACCCGCAACCACACAATAGGGTGGGAGAGGATTAAAGTTCTAAGAAGTAGTATAGGTAGGTGGAGATAGAGAGAGATTGATTCCTGAATCCTGGTTCATCGAGTCTACTCCCGACACATGCAATAGAAGTAACTCAACGCAAATACCAGAGATATGGAAGATATTACTACCAGTCAAATCAAAGGACAATAAATAATGTTAAAATGTATTCAATTCACATTATAACATTCTAACAAGTTATTTATTTATTTTACTGTAAAAAACATCTTATTTCCCATTTAATTGTATTTGATTGATAACACTAATATTATTCCCGAATGTACATTATCTAATATTAATTTTATTCAAATGTCTAATCATCAATTTTTACTCATGTATATAAACGAAGCAAGAAAATTGTGTGAGTGACTTGATATGATTATGAGCAGTAATAATTTGTGGTCAAAGCGTCATCAGTAAATATTACTGTATAACACCAATGTGTGATTTTATCAAACAAAAATTTTATCCATAATGGAGTTATACTCACTCTACCACAGTGCTCAAGTTTTATACTTATATCATTAATACTCTCTACTAGTCATCTCAATATAAGGTATGACTCAATGCCAATCAGTTTCTTGTTTTACTACACTTATCGGTAACCATAAAGTTTTCACTAACAATTCAAGAAAGAAAAAAGAGTATGATCATTCCTGAGTAATCAATTTATGACCTCATTAATTGCTACAGAAAATAAAGTAAATAAAAGTACAAAATAAAGGAACTATTTGTAAAAAATAAGATATGTACTACAAAAAATATATATACACGTATAGCTATTACGTTGAAGAAAATTTTCGATGTTCATATTCCGTTTCTTCTTTGAGTTTATACAGTTGATCTTGAACAACCTGAGTAAATGTACTGTGTATATTAGAACGAAATTCTGATGATGTCTCATATTGACGAAGATTATGCCTTAGTTCTTGACGTAAATCACAGACATTAATCGGTTGACCGATACCAATAGTTACATGACACGATTTTCCAAATATACGTGTTAGAGTAACAGAAGTATTTGGTACTTCAGAAGGATTAAGTTCATCTAAACCGCAATGCCATATTGGAATTACAATAGGATCCTTCAAAAAATTAAAATGTGCAAATAGAAGACAATGTTGTTAGTCAACTTCTAAACACTCCAGTTTTTAAAGTTGAAGCATCTTAAGAATAGTCATAGGCCTGCATGCAGATGAAGGATCTATTCTAGATAGCTAACTCTTAACTCCCAAGTGAAATCTAGGGTTACACAGGTACACTGGTTACATCTGGGAACAGATCTATATGCCCATAAAGATCTAGTGCTCGGTTTTCCTGCAGATTTGACATTCACATCCTAACTTTACTCTTCTAACTCTCCTTGCCTTTACTTATCCGAAGTCACAATGCCTTTAGTTCAGAAAACAGTTCACACATCTACTAGTTTTCGCACTATCATTTCAACCTACTATATATTTACCAGTTCCTACAGTGTATACACTGAAAGACATCTTTTCTAAAGATAAATTCTCTGACGGATATGAGAATTTTCAGTTAGATGTTCACACCGAGAGTTCACTAAAAACTAAAGGCAAGCATACTTGAAGCTGTTTATAAAGATCAGGCAAATGTTACAAAAAGAAGTTGTAGTATTTTAATGTTGGTAATTGACAGAAAAATGTCCTAAACATCCATTGTTTTAGTGACTTATAGTTTCTTCAATGAACGAAATATTCCCATATTGAGTCATAAGAAAAAGGAACAAACAGCAAAGAAAATTTTCTTTTCGACGATTCATTTTCATGAGCTGTACAATCGTAATTATAATTAACAAAGAAATCTTTAGACCAATCAGATACTGGTAAATTTTGTCCTTGGAAAATTGTATTACATAATGTAAGGTGTAAGAAGGGATGACTAATTGTAAGTTAGAAAGGAGACAGAAGTTGGCATGACGTAATAAGTGTGAGATGAAGGAGAAGCCTCCGGTGTCAAACATTGCAACGGTTCCTAAGAAGACTCTCTTCATGAACCTAGAATTCAAAGGTGATGCCGCAGCAGAAATTCTCAGAAACCGCCTTTCTAAATGTCTGAAGAAGACATTTCCAACAGCCACTCTACGTATCACATTCTCCTGCAGACAATTAATTCAGTCTAACGCTAAGGACAAGATACCGCTTTTGGCCACCTGAATGTGTATTTATCAATTTACTTGCTCGTGTGGAGCAAAGTATATTGGCCGTACGCAAAGTCAAGTCCAAAAACGTATTCTGGAACACTGCCCACCTTGGTTGGCCAGAGGAGAAAAGAAGAATAGCAACAGCTCGATCCTCGAACACCTTGTCATCTCTGGACATCGAGCACCCCCACATGAATGCTTCAGTGTTACACAGAGTCCCTCAATATCGTACAAAGGGACTTCGGATTCGCCATCTGTACATAGCTGAAGCATTAGCTATTCGAGATCTAAAACCGGACCTCTGCATACAAAAGAGATACATACATTCTCTTGCCTTACCATGGCCAGAGTAAAGTTCTTATCACAATTTTGCTTCTTTCCTTTATTATGTAAGTTCACTATTACTACCATTATTATTTTATTTTATTAATACTTTTATTATCATTTTGTCCCCATCATCCACATTTTATTACCACTCTATTACTGTTTATTAATAACATTGTTTTTCATACATATTTTATACAAAAACACTTTATAGCCTTTCCACTAGTTCCTGTCCATTTTACACGAGATTATTGATTATTCACTATCTCACACTTATTACGTCATGCCAACTTCTGTCTCCTTTCTAACTTACAATTAGTCATCCCTTCTTACACCTTACATTATGTAATACAATTTTCCAAGGACAAAATTTACCAGTATCTGATTGGTCTAAAGATTTCTTTGTTAATTATAATTACGATTGTACAGCTCATGAAAATGAATCGTCGAAAAGAAAATTTTCTTCGCTGTTTGTGCCTTTTACTTATAGTTTCTGTTTGAAATGAATAGTGATTTACAGCCGATACTATCCTCTTAGTACTTACTTATCTATATGTGATGTGATGAAGTCGTCAGTTAATACCTAATACTTACAAAAGCTTACTTCTTTTGATTCTGCTATTAATCGTCCAATTCCCCAACGTAGCCGGATATTTTGTTCTAAATTACGTTCATGTGGTTGAACGATTCTACCCTAAAAAAAGTAGCAATAATAATAATAGTGTTTTATAACCATATACGCTAGCTTTCATTTTAAAAAAGCAGCTTTGATTTTCACAAAAAGCATCCATTTCCTCCTCAACAGCAATTACATGATCATTGAAAGAGGTTGTCTTACCTTAACTGTTTTAGTCTCTAAACTCATACTCACTAGGGGTGATTAGACGTGTTAGATGATCCACAACGGAAAACTCAGCGGGAAAGGCATTGAATTGAAGACAGGAGTTAGACAAGGCTGCCGCCTACTATCACCGATGATATTCCTAATTTTGGTGAACTGGATTATGCGACACATCGCGAGAAGACAGAAATACGTTGGACCAATAATAAGACACTAAAAGATCTGGACTTCGCGGACGATTTATGTCTAATGTCACACAAACGCAAAGACTTACAGGCAAAAATCAACAAGTTGGCAGAAGAAGCAGTAAAGACATAAGCGATGAAAGTAATCAACCAATAACAACAATCACTATCAACGGTAGAAATTTGAGGCATCCTTTCAACTACATGCAGACGACACAGATGAGGGTGTCAAAACCAAACCAGGATAGGAAAGGCAAGACAGGACTTCATCACTTTGAAAATCTTCTGACTCCACAGTATAAAGAACAAAATTCGGATTTTCAACATCGATGTTAAATCTATCAGTCATTCTATATGGTTCAGAAACCTGGTGAGTGCATCACTAAAGCATTCCCAATAGGCTACTGAAGGCTCTTACCGATGGCTGTCTTCTCTGGCTCCATACTGAAGTTCAGATCAACAACCAGAAAGAATTGGCAACAATGAAATATGGGAACGAACTAATTAAGAACCTATTGCTGAACAAATACGGCGAAGAAAATGGAGATGGATTGAACACACGTTGAGACTATCGGGTGACATCACGCGCCAGGTCCTCGAGTGGGAAATGATGAGTTGGGATTGATCCTAGGGTGACATGGAGGAGGCCATGTGAGAGGGAGATGAGAATGTGAGCAATCACAGGGTCAGCTAAATAGGAACGCAGAGAACAGGTCAAAGTAGAGATGTGTTGTCGAAGCCCTATGTTCCACTCATAATCCAAGGGAACAATAGTAATAATAATAACAGACCATAGTTATTAGTCGACTACAGTTTGACTTGTAAGCACTCTCCAATCCATTCGTATGAAGGTGATCATAACTGTTTTTCAAACAGGTGACTTAAAAAGTACAGTAACGTGTGTTCAAATCTCAGTCTGTAGGTTATATTATTACCATAATTCGAATTTGGTTATACAAATACATGATACAGCATGGGCATCAAGACATGCAACAAGTTAGCATTCTCACTAAGCATATTCAAAGCAACGTGCATCACTCTACATTACTTACACCTGTGAGACAAGATTACAGGCTTATGACCACTACTGTCTTGATTCAATTGGTTGACTGAGATAGAACTAAAAAGTAAGTAATTTCGAAACTAAATGTAGTGTCAGGCCAGAAAACACACCAACTGATCTGACTGCTGGTTTTCTTTGATCGTGGTGGTTATGTGTTGTGGATGCTAAGACGCTTTCCTTTGAGAAGTAATATCGGCTGGAGTAGAATTATGCTAGAAACGAATGGAGTAGTCACACCAAGATACTGAACTAGTCCTTCTACTGTTTAACTGATATTCTGAGTCATGCAGCTAGATGTATGTCACCTGCCTGAGGTCCCTAAGATGTCAAGGAACAATAATAGAAAACTCTTCATGGAACCCAAAACTGTCTAAAGTAATGCAGATGAATTCACTCTATGATTTTTAAAATTATGAAAATCTTTACGAATTAATCCTTCCTAAGTTGTCTTTTCTTTTCTCACATTCAGTTTGATTATAGAAAAAAGATTAAAAGCCTACGGTTGACGATTTTTTACGTTTCATGTATTTTTCCTGATAAAAGACGAAGTGTTGCATGTGGATTGGAAATAACGGTCTTCAGTTTCAGGCCGATGATGGGCAATTATGCTCTTTCAATCGAAAAAATAATTTCTGTCACCACATAGCTGTTTAGAATGTTTACCTGACCTTCAAAGTAGTTTAAAAAATACTGAAAGTTTCGAATGCCCGAATAATTATTGTTTTAGATGAGTTGGTTCTATAATGCCATTACACCTAATCAGAACTAATACAAAACTACACAACAATTAAAACTTGGTTATAGAAGGACAAGTCAGTCTAATAAATGAGTACTAAATTAGAAAAACTTTTACAGTAAATGGTGTTTTTTGCATTATGAATCTCGCCTTATGATTTTCTCTAACTAAATTTTAGAAATATGCTAACAGTTGGTGTAATATAAATGACTACCCCAAATGAAAAGACGTCAACGACGAAATCTAAACCTTGAAACCAACGTGAACCCTTGCTTAGTAATCCAAAGCATTGAGCACAAGAATGACGTGGAACACTTACGTAACTTAATTTACAAATGAATTTTCATAAAAGGTGACACGATTTTATATGGTGCTTCTGCGGAAATCTGTCACTAAGCTGCTAATATAACAACGTAGACCTTTGTACTAAAAGTGCATCAGTTTATTTTGTCATACTTCACAAAAGCAAACAAGTAGGGAGAAAAACAATGAGAATACAACAATTGGTGGAAATGCACAGGAGAGAGAGAATAATTAGGTGGAGGCTAATGAACAATAATAGAATCTGGGTGATGACAACGAGTGAATAGTGAATACATCTGTACAACTATAAACCAGGGCCTCCAGACAGGTAGACCACACCATTTTACGTAATTCAGACTGACGGTCAACGACTTAACAGTTTAGTATCGAGTTTCGCTCTGACCAACCATTCAATTTCACTAGAGAAAGAAACAATGACCACAACTGTCAACTTTTTGTGACAATATAACATCTCCCTACCGTCTATTTGAGTATGAAAGTAAAAATAAAGCCTGGAATATATGACTAACACAACATGAACTATAGGGACTGGGGAATCGCATACTGAAACAGAGTACGATTGAAACCATCGGTGTGAATCAACAGGGACACTTTATAACAGAAGTAATGCACTGAAAACACAAAATTCAGTGTACACAAACCTGAGGAAATACATGAATCCATTGACCAGAATTCAATAAATCTATACAGAAATCCATACTAGGCTGATATACTCCACCACCGAAATGTGTTATCTTACCAGATAACGGATCACGAACTCTTCGCCATACAGGGACTCCTTTGAACCAGAAGAAAAATTGATTATGCCACCATGATGTATAACATATATCTACGGCTGTCAAGCACCAACGACATATTTTTACTAAATTTCACCAAATTATTTGAATACTGGGATGCTACATACCATTAGCAAAGTATTTTAATGGTAACAAAGAGCCATTTAGGAAGAAATCATCAAGACATGAATGATGATTACTGACAGTAATCAGAGGATGACTAATTGGTCGTTTATCGATTGCTAGAAACAAACGTTCAGAACCAATAACATTCAAACAATGACGAAATAGTGCAATTTTTGAAATTAATCCCATGAAGGAATACGTCAGTGGTTGCAGAATCTTTCGTGAAATAGAGGATGTCCCACAGCTTTTGTTCAGCTTGTAAACAAGATCCATTTGGATAAAGATTTAAAGAAGCTCGCAGTTGCAAAACTCAGCAGATACTTATGAATACAAAACAGTTATTTGGATCATTGAGGGCCTGAAAAAATTACAAGAAATTGCACATTTAATAAATCTGATTCTTGTTAACACTGGCAAAGATATACTTACTTGTGGGGCATTATAATGGGAACTTAATATAAGCGATGTCAAATAGTACGTGGTCAATCACTTGATTTATGAGATATGAGAAATAAGAATCCTTAAACCAGACATCCATGGAAAACCATCAAAAAGTGCACATACAGCACATCTAGTAAAGTATCGTGAAATTACATTCTGTCAATTCTGATGTAGTTGAGACTTACTGATGAAGCAACGCAAGACTTTGTGCAGAGGTGTGTTATGTTAAGTTGCCCAACTTCAGAAAAGTACAGAAATGTAATTATACTTCCATAAATTAAGCATGTGTAAGAGAGTAATCAAATGAACGCTAGAGAAGATTTTCATCAATGTAAAGTTTTGAGCAATGTCACCAGAAGTCTAAAATCAATTATTATTATTAGCATCCAAAATAAACTACAGTGGACGAAAATTTACTGGAAGGAATAAATAGGTGAGAACTAGTGAACGTTAACAGAGTTTAGATGACAAAAGGCTAAAATATCTTCCAGCCATCTCGTGAAGTGTCCAACCACAGATTTTTAAGAACCTGAAGTCCCGAAACCAGGTAGATTACACCTTCACACATCGTTCAAAATAACAGTCAATAATCTCACAGATTTATTTGACCACTTACAGACGTTTACAATCTAATTCTACTTAACATAGTTCTTCAGCGAGGCAGTGATTTGCCACGTGTAGTAAGTCCTAGACTGTTGATCACTGAATCTTCATAAACTCAAAGATTGACTTTCCCTCCCTACATTATCAGCGACCATGTTGCTGTACCAAGTGCAAGCATCAACTGATCGATCAAAAGCCTATCAATTTTCAAACTTAGTAGCTCCAGCTGCATGTCTCACAGCTGTTAAATAGAACACAACGAGCTGCTACAGAATACGCAAGCTCTTTAGTGGGACAGTCGGATATCACGCCACCATCAAAGATGATGCAAGTTGGTAAATGCTGTGCTGAGGTTTCATCTGCTTCCACGTCATTAAGGCCGACTCAACTTACTAAATAAATGAAGTGATCGACACACAACTACTTCAACCACTACCGCTAAATTAGTAGTCAGTGGAAATCAGTCATGCTATGTAGAGGCAAGTAGAATGCCAAACAATTGTTTGCTGTGTTCAGGAAAGTACATTTAGGCATTCTTCAGTTAAAATCATGTCACCTGTATACTGCAGTTCAGCGAGTATCTTTACTAATCATAAAAGGATTTACGGGACAACGAAGTCGAAGACAGTTACTTCTTTTACTATATCCATAATGAAAATGGTAATAACATTTGCTGTTGTCAGTTCAGGTGACTAATCTTAAAAAGCTGTAAAACAACAGCATGTTTTCGTATAGTGCCTTGAATAGTGCAATGTGCTTTCTCGATATTCAGTTTACAATCACACTACCACAGCAATCTCTGGTCAACAGAGTTCAATAGTGCCACTACGTCAAGATATACGGCAAATTTTGGACTCGTGTGGATTTTTGTTTAAGACTTTAATGAGATTTATCACTGTGCTGTCGTTCAGCTTGAAGACTACTAGATTTATTATCATGAGTTTTACAATGTTTCCTTGGGACTGTGGGTCCTTCGATCTTGAAACTAACGCTTATAACCCCAAATTAAGAATTTAGGAGAAATGCACTACTTCCGACTCACCCCCCCACCACAATTTTTTATTAAGAACTCTAAAGTCATTATAAAACGCTTCTATTTCTAACAAAGTTATTCAATTTTGTGGTCAGTCTGTCAACTTCCTGTTTCGAAAATTTCAGACGGCTGCTACTTGTCTCGATCAAGTTAAACTTTAAGCACCAGTAAATACCAGTGGAGTGCAACCACGCTAATGACCTAGAAACGCTAGCTAAGCCAGTTAAAGACACCTGCAAATAATGTCATCATGAATAAAATGTGCCTAGTGAAGTGCTATGTTATTAAATGGGATATTTGGCAAGTTTCAGTCCAGGTTTGGGGAACATTAAGTAAAGGTTCAGGTTAAGAATAGGTTAGGGCTAAGTTAACCTAGGTCAATTTAGAATAAGGTTATTTTACGGATATTTTCGAGTTAGGGCCAGGTGAAGGAAAGACTAAGATTATTGTTATGATTAGAGCTAGATGACTACATACATAGAATGTGGTTACTCTGCTGATACTCCAATGCAAAACTAAGAGGTATCTTTGTTACACGTCAGAGAAAGGTAGCCTGTGTAACAGTTCCATGCCTTTTTAAAGATTACTTTCGTCAATATATGTATGTTATACGTAGAAATCACATTTATCTTGCAGTTGGTGCATCCAAATTCATTTGTCTGCTGCTACATACTGGTGCTTAAAATTTAACTCCGCCTCTATTTTCATTGAATTGATGCAGCCTCATAGTACACAAAAATTAATGAAATATGCAGGTACGTTTCGAAAACAAAGCACCGTAAATAACACTAAGAACAGGGTACCATAGTGACAAAGGACTATATAACACACGTGCCTTTCCGGAGAATTGGAGTGTGAATATACGTTATAGGGTGTTATATCTTACGCGCTTAAGGGCTTTCTCAGCTTTGATTGGCTAGTACAGTGGCGGAGAGTTTGACTTAAATTTGTCCTCGGTAGGTCATGCCGTGTGCAGGTTTTCGTGGTTGCGGCATGCGTTGTTTGCAAGCATGTTTGATGAATATAAATGTAAAATATTGGTATTCTAACGTTTTATTTTACTTATTTTGTGCATGTACCAGGCTTGGTTTATCATACATTCTGTTTGTTGGCCTATCGGTTGCTGGCGATGTCAAGGAATCCGTGAGTTCGAGGGCTTTTCTCGATTTTAGGTTATACATGTAGCATTTTATTGATGGATATTGCGACACAGATGGATGCTAATTGACAACGCCTTTTTAGTTTATTGCAGGTAGGCAATGCGGGTGAAAGTACTGCTGACGTCAGTGGAATTTTCGATGAAATTATGCTGGGAAGGCGTTTCTTTAGTTGGGAGGAATTTGAGAATTCCTTAGGAGAATTTCAACAAGTGAGGAAGTCATTTAATGCTAACAATGTAGTTGTCCTGCACTCACTATGTGCATATTCAAAGCAAAACAACAGGGGAAGACAGATATAAGTACGCTTACGTTTATTTTAAATGCACTTTTGGCGTGAACCGTGGAAAAGCTGGCCTGAAATTGCGAAACAAGTCGTAAGAGGAATTGTATTATGATAATATGTATGTTTAAGGTCTAAATGTTGCAACTGTCTGTCTGCATTTCGCGTAATTTTGCGTTATAGTGAATACGTGATAACATCCCACAAAATGGTCCACAACCATCCATGCACCAGGGTGTATATGCAGAATGATCCATGGTCTAGACGACTGTCAGCGGAAGAGAAAGAAAATATAGAACCACTTCTTCACCAATCACACTCATCAGATGAAATAATTATGCATGTTAAGGAAACATTCCACAAGGACATAACTCTTAATGACGTTAGAAATCTGAAAGCTTCAGTTAATAAAGGTAACGTTAATGTAAATGTAAACTACTTCAGGTATATCGAGCCGTTATGACATTTTTGAATTCCTAAAGTCCCGTGGGAAGTTATTGGAGTATTATGCAGATGAACCGATAAGGAATTCACTGATGAGAGTCTGTTTTTCTACTTATGAGCAAATAGATTTGTATAAACGTTTTCCGGAGGTTGTTGGCATCGATTCTACATATAACACAAATAAAGGGAAGTAAGTTTATTCATTAATTAATCAACATGCAGGTATTCTTTGTTTCAATTGGTTGTAACGGATAATTTTGGTCGTGGGAGACCGGTTCTATTTGCTTGGACGCGAAAGGAATTCAAGCGTGATGTTGTTTGGATTTTGGACTCGTTTCGTAGCATAATGGAAGACACCTCTAAAACAGAAACATTCATTATGGATTGTGCGCAAGCCGAAATAGGAGCAGTGAAGTTAACACACAGAGAAGCGCACATTGTTCTTTGTTCTTTTCATGTTTGTCGTGCATTTTGTCGTAAAGTAAATTATTTAAAAGCATAATTAAAATTTCAATTTTAGACGCGGAATCCCATTGTTAAGAACTACTTATGTCGCTTAATTCAGTGTAAAAGGAGATCTGAGTAATGCCTTTAATATTTTCATTTTTCCAGATTTAACTTCTATTTCAGAGTTATAAGCCGATTGGATGTTGGTGTCAGTCAGTATTTACAACGTCGTTGGATGAGTCGACGACACTTGTGGGCAGCAGCTTTCAGGGAACATGTACTGACTTTGGGTAATGACACCAACAATCGTGTAGAAAGTTCTCACAAGCAGATGAAGCGGTACTTGCTTAGATCAGATAGTCTGCATCAAAGCATGCTGAAGGTTCACAAATGGTTTCAACTTAGTAATTCTAGAATAGAGCAGGAGTCCA